GGAGCAGCGTCCGGTGGCGGGCGACCGGCGTTCCAGCCGTCTAAAAAAGATTCGACACACGCGTGTTCACGTGGCCGAGCCGCGGATCGGATCGGATCGGTTTTTCGTGAACGGAACGCGATGGGAACACGGCGCGAGCGGTCCCGATCAATCTCGTTCACCGCGCGGATTCGATTCGCCGTCCCATAGAGATCAATTGCCGGCGGCCGGCCAAAGGGAACGGGCTACCCGCGGTTCGGAGAATGTTAATCCTACCGGGCCCGATCGGAGGAGGAGAATCAACGTTTCGCCGAAGTAACCGTTCCGCGAAACCGCCTAACGGGCAACCGCCCTTCGCGCCGCGCGAATCAATTGTCAATTAACCCTGCCACGCTCGGGACACGCCTGATGGAATGCAAACGTGATTACGATTTCCTTGTGTCTTTCGCCAGTACGTCGATTGCTCCTTACGTCGAATGCGATTTTAAGTAAAATACGCGGAACGGAGGAAGATGTGATATTGAATTGTTCGATTGTTATTGTTGCACTTTTACTGAATATCGCAGTGGGTAATATTAACCCTTAGTATTCTAGGTTGTTTTGTATATCAGCAACTAATTTTTGTAGTATTTCTAGGGAAAATGAATGCTATAACATTTCTTCTTTTATTTTCCTTAGTAAAATTTGGATGTATGGAAAGTCTAATAATTTTAGGGTAATTTTTATAGTATTTCTAGGGAAAAAGAATGCTATAACATTTCTTCTTTTATTTTCTTTAGTAAAAAATTTGGATGTGTGGAAACTCTAAGAATTTTAGGGTTGTTTCTGTAAGATTCATTGAAATATTTAATATTGTAACTGCTGTAATATTGGAGCCTACAGAGTTCAAAGGGTTGATATAGAAATGTAATATGTAATAATATAGAAAATATAGAAAATATAGAAAATATAGAAAATATAGAAAATATAGAAAATATAGAGAATATAGAAAATATAGAAAATAGTAATATAGTAATAGTAATGTAGAAAAATTTCTATATTATTCATTTCAAATAGTCACCGTTCAATTTCACCATAGTAACTCGATTTGATTACAAATCACCATATTCAACGCATTAATGATAGAAAACCATAGGAAGCACCAGGAATTCTCCAAGGGAATTCAGTTACTGATAAGTAATAAACTCAGAAGGAGAAATCGATTGAAACTGAAGCGATTATAGGATTGAACCGTCCAGAGGCACACGTTTTATCCTGTTCCGCCGAGTCGTTAGGGGACGGTCCGCTGGATAATGCCATTTATAGGTAGAAACGCGGATAGGCGCGGAGCACGCGAAACGGCAGGGTATGTAACGTGAATCACATCGCGGAGGTCTGATATTCCGCGTGTCCCACGCGCTCGCGCCAAAAATAGCACGGTTACACTATAGACGGCTTTCCACCCTCTTCTTATATCTTGTCAACGTTCCACGCGCGTTACAACGTGTAAATTTCGCACGGTGATCCCGAGCGTTACCAGCGGCGCCACCCGATTTACACGCGTCACATTCTTTCGTCCGGGTAACGGCGGCCGCGCGCGCGTCCGACAACACGGCCGCCCGGATTTCATTGAACTTCGTCGTTCCTGACCGGTACGATTCGTCATTTCAGGAATCTCGGGGGAGGTGATCCAGATCGACGTCGGACACTGTCGCAAAGTGTGCCCGCGACACAATATAGACGATCCAGGGGACTTGAGTCGGCCCGCGGTACAGGTAAATCCTTCGATTGTTCCCGATTGTTCCGGTAAGATCGTCGGGCTCGCGGTGGTTAACGAGAGCTGCCGGTCGCTCTTTAATTAACCCTTAGCACTCCACATAGTTTTTTTATGTATTAGCAGCTCCTAGCAATTTTAGTCCTACTGAGAATTAACGATGTTGTTACATTTCTTGGACCTTTAACCGTTAGCACTCCACATAGGTTTTTGATATGTCAGCAACTCCTAGCAATTTTGATGGTAGTCCTACTGAGAATTAATAATGTTCTAACATTTCTTAGACCTTTAATTCCCTTCTCAGTACAAACTTTGTATATTTGGAAGATCTAATAGTCTTAACACTTTGCCAATCGAATGGGAGATCTCCCACTTTTCACTTAGCAACGTATTGCCTTTTACTCTATTTATCTTTTCTTTTGTTATTTACTAAGTCTTGAAGTGGGATTATTTGCAATTCATCAAACACGGTTCTCAGTTTTACGAAACACAGTTTCTAACTGAATTAATTGAATGAGTTCGTAGTTATAGTTCTGTTTACATTACACTATTGTCAATTCATTTGTGTTAAATATTTTTAGTCGACAGCAGTCATCCTGCATATTGTAATCATTTCAAGCAATCCAGAAGCGTCGGTCACCGGTGACCGACATGGCATTTATCGCGTTGATACCGAAAGATCGGTAGTCGCGCGAGGCATCCGAGAGTTAATATCGCGCCGAGAGAAAATTCGACGGGAATGCTGGGTTACGAAAGGATGCAGGTGACTCACGCCCGCGGGATGCGCACCAGGTGCAAGGTCTTGGCCGGTCCTTCTAAAAATGTGCGCTAACAAGGAGAGAAATATCTCTTTCTCGACAATCGCCCTCTGATTTCGAAGAGAATCAGTTTCAAGTTTGTACGTTACTGTAATAAGACGATTAGGAGATTACTGCAACAAGGTACCATTCTAATTCTCCGTACTTGGAGTTCCATTTCATTTCCATTTTTCTCTGTTTTCCTTTAACCCCTTGGCCTATGATTTCTTTCTGAACTCTGATCGATACTACTTTGTCATTAATAATTTCTTAGAAAAAGAGAAAATTCTAAGCATATGTTATGTCTATATTTCCTTTTAAGTATAATAAATGATTCCAGAGGAATGTTTACTTTGAATTCGAATGAACCGAGTAATATATATATATTTGTTGAACCATGTTGAAAATCTTCACGAGTCTCACTCGTTGTAGGACAAGGGGTTAAATTACAATTTGCTTTCAGATAAACAGCTTTCAGATTTCACTCGAGTCTCTAGATAACTTGTATTTTACTACAATATCATTCACCGTTTATTACAGTAACTTACCAGCTTAAATCTCTCGAAAACGGACCACTTCGAAAAAGCCACGAAGGTTTTTCCTATCTATACATGGATCACAACATAGATCATCGTTCACGATGCGAAATTCATTGCAAAACGAGGACATTCTTGGACGTCGCGATTTTCGAGCATCGATCCTCAAATTTGACACTGGCCCTTAGGGTCCGTCTGAAAGGAAAGCCCAACGACGCCGATCTGAACGTGTTAACGATCCGATTTTCGTTCGTTCGGCGGAGGATTTTTTCCGAGGGTCTCGATCGTGATCGAGCGAGAGGGGACGGGGCCCGTGGAAGGAATTCCGTGCGAGGGAGAGAGAAGGGGCCAGCCGAGGGGACTCCGAATTCGTTGAAATGAAAAAGGACACCGCGATACACGTCGCCCCGCACGGCAGGTTACGTGTGCCAAGGGCTATACGAAGGGCGAAAAAAGGCAGGAACGTCATGTAGATTTATGACGCACGGGATCGACCAATCCGCCAGCTGGAATGCGGCCACGCCAGCGGCATCGCGCGATCGTACGATCTTCGCGACTTTTACGGCGAGTGCACCCCCCGCCGCATGCGAGCCTCGACGATGATCATGCACATTTTACACGCGCCACGATTTTTATACGGCCGAAATTCATCGGAGGACATTGGCCGACGCTAGGACCGAATTACATCGCTGCCCGGAGATCGAAGTATGCGTAACGGACGCCGTAGAGTTCGAAAAACACCGAAACGGAACGATCGGGCGGACGATCGGATTGCCATGGAATAGCTCGGGTTAATCATGATATTTTTCTATTGAACCAATTGAAAAGATTATAGTAAATATGGTGATATTCAAATGCATTTACTGTGGAATAGTTCGAGTTAACTAGATATTTTTCTATTGAACCAATTGACAACATTATAGTAAATAAGGTGATATTCAAATGAATTTACTGTGGAATAGTTCGAGTTAACCAGATATTTTTCTATTGAAGCAATTGAGAAGATTATAGTAAATATGGTAATATTGAAATGAATTTACTGTGGAATAGTTCGAGTTAATCAGATATTTTTCTATTGAACCATTTGAAAAGATTAGAGTAAATATTGTAATATTCAAATGAACTTACCATGGAAAAGCTCGAGTTAATTATGATATCATTAATTCTCTATTGAACCAATTGAAAACATTAGAGTAAATATGGTAACATTCAAATGAACTTACCATAATATTCCGGATTCCGTGAATACATTGACTGCTATAACATTACTAGCAAAGACGAATAACATTAGAAACAATGTATTAATTTATCATCGTAACTCTCGTTGCATACTCTACTCATCGTACCCACTCAGCTAAAAGATTCAAGCTCATAATTATCTTCAAGCAATTCGGAAGCTACGGGTATCGGTCACAGTGACGGCAGTCGACGCGTTAACGGGCGATCCGTATCGAGAGGGCACAGCAGGTCGACTAGACAAGCTCGCAAAACAATCCGATAACGACCCCGTAAGTCGCACGTACGCTGGCTGCCCCGTGGCGTGTGCTATTTTCGTCACGTGATGCAACCGGATCGGTGGTTTACGATCTTGCAGCACCCACGCCGCGGGAGAGAAACAAGCTGCTTCGGGGAGAGGCAAGGAGCGCTCGGGCACGCGATATGCAGAACGAGAGGATGTGTTTTGCGTCCTTGGAAGGTCGTATCGTGCCGGGTCACCGATCCGGCGCCGGCCTGGCCAGCTACTAAATCCCGAGTCGTGTTCCTGGGACCGGCGAGGATGGATGTGCCAGGGCACCGAATTTATTCAGAGAAATATTCTTAAGCCAGAAATATCGCGAACGACGGTCAGGACACGACGGGCCCCGAGGAAAGGGTCCGACCGGGCCGTTCCCGACGGACAAAGATAACGGTCGGTTATCCCGCAGCGAGGATAATTAACCGTTTGAATCCCACCGGTTTTTAGGGACCCGATCGATTAATGCCAGGCGATCGCGCTTCTTTCGTTTCGATACCGAAACTGAATTACGCTTGTCTATTCTTACGGACGCAAACTTTAGGCAGATCGTTATATTTCTCCAGTGATAATAACGAAGATAACGAGGAATAATCAGAAGGAAATAAATAAGCTTCATCTGATTCTACGATAGACCGCCATTTTTACGCAATGCAACGGAGAAGCGATCGCGCTTCTTTCGTTTCGATCGACACTGAATTACGCTTGTCTATTTTTACGATCGTTACATTTTTCCAGTGATGATAGCGAAGATAACGAGGAATAATTAGAAGGAAAGGAACAAGCTTCATCTGATTCTTAGACCGCCATTTTTACGCAGTGTAACAGAGAAGCGATCGCGCCGCTTTGGGACTGAAACGGTGAAATGGCCCGAGATCGAGTACCGAATAAGAGGATCCTAACAGGAGATAAGTGTCGCGCGGTTGCTGTAAATCTCGTCGGGGCACCGTCGATACGGGGACACGGTTCGCGGAACCCGCGACGTAAATCAAACGGGAATTCCGCGAATCCGCGATCACGCTTCAGGCCCCTATCGATGAATCGTTCGTGCCTTTTGAATCTGTACTTCTTGTTCTTCTTCCTCGAGCATTCCCGTTTCGTCCTTTATCTGTTTAACACGTTAAATGCCATGTCGCCGATGATTAACGCTTCTAAATTAATCAGTTTAACCACTTGCGCTGGAAAGACGTCTTACGCGCGTCGTGATGTTTTTGTCCGAAAATTAACAACGACATATTTTACGCGTGGGTAGTCTTATTGGATAGTAAAATATTACACGAGCTTACTAACGAAAATAAATAGTACGCCAAGGGTGTTAATATTTCATTTAGTTTTTCATCCAGTTGGCAATGCTATGTAACGGTGATTGCGTAAACAAGCGAGAACAAATATTTGTACAAATATTTGTGTAGTGTATTTTGTGCAGTTTGGGTTGTTTTCTGCTTTAACATCAAATTCAAAGAGTTAACATTAGATTCCTATTTTCGGGTGACAGAAATGCTGCCAGGAGTCGCATTGCCGTCCCAGCGCCGAGAAAATGGAGAGAGTCTCGACGATCCAGGGCGTACGCGTGATCGAAGTGATCGAGGCCTGCGAGTGCACGCCGGACTCCTCCTGCAGACGGGAATCCTTGACGCATTTGGTTCATTCCGGCACCCCTCACCAGGCTGTGATGGACGTCGGGGTGTGCATGGGCCATTGCGGTAAAGGTATTGCGCCTTTCGTCTTTAATCCCGACTGCTTTAAGCTTCCTTGATAACACTGCTCTCGTTTCTGGCAGATCTCGGATGCAAACCTCTGAGGAACCACACGGTCAGCATCAAGGGACCGAACGGTACGTAGCAGAGGAAGATGCGCTTTAACAAATTGCTACCAGCGCTTATTTGAATGACGGTCTCAATATTTTCTTCAATCTAATAGTATATAGAAAATATTAGAAAAATGAAACAGACATTGTCACAGATATTGTCATTAGAAATTATAAACTACATTATATTTAGGAACTCAATGGCTCAAATGACAATATCTGTGGCATTCATTTCATTTTCATTGTGTACAATATAGGAGTACGGTTGTTGCCAATATATGACGCTGGTAGTGATTAATCTATTCCAACCGCTTATAGATAAGGATGTGTCAAAGGATTCGAAATATTTAATAGTTTCTGATCCTGATATCTTATAGATATCTTATAGATAAGGATGTATCAAAGGATTATAAATACTGGTTTCTGATCCTGATATCTATAGGATTCATTTCATTTTCATTGTGTATAATATAGGATTACAAGCGTCAGAAATATATGACGCAGGTAGAGAACATATTAATCTATTCCAACCGTTCATAGACAAGGCAGTGTCAAAGGATTCGAAACGTTCGCTAGTCGATTTGAACTAGAAGACGAATCAGTGGGTAAAACGAACCGGTTCACGTTTCAGGTGACGAAGTGTACCAGGTGATCGAGAAGTGCGGCTGCGCCGGAGCTTGTCACAAGATGGACCACATGGAGACCGTTCTCGACTTCAGCGAAGTCGAAATCAAAGACGGCACGAACACGACGGACGTCTGGCCGGTGCTTCGGGTAAGCTCTCCCCCCCGCGACAATGCGCGACGACGTCGTTGACTTCATCGTCGGTTCCGTTCGCAGCAAATCAACGTTGGACAATGCGTCGGCACGTGTCCGGGCAACGAGACGGAAATGTGCCTTCTGCGAATGAAAAAGGAGCCGTCGAGATGCTTAGCTAGTTTATACAGGAAGCAGAACGCCTGCACCCCGGCCAGATTCAAGGTTCACGAGTACAGGTAACGGAGACATCCGCGTCAGGATGAATCGGTTCCGCGCGGACGAGACGTTCGAGTGACATTGGTCGTTTGCAGGACTCGCCGGGGATCGAAGAGGGAGATCATTCAAATCACTCGGTGCGCCTGCGTTTAAACGGGACGGACGGAGAGCAGAGGTCCTAAGCATTACGAATTGAAATCCGTTTGACGCGTCGAGCGAAGTACCGTTTCCATGTTCCTACGTACACCGTGTACTGGTATGGCTAATAAACGTACGATAACTTTGTAGAAAAACGTCAGTGGTTACCTTCATCTCGATCTGCCGTCGTTGACCCTCGGAGCGCGCTGATTCTCGGGTAAGCTTCAGTCGATGATCGTTAACACGTTGAACGCCGCACTATTTCATAGAGCAAAATAACAAAAATATTTCTATTTAGTTCTATTTCATAGAACAAAATGGAAAAAATACAATATTAAATCAATTGATTGAATTGCGTTATTATTATCGCACAGTCATCTAGCTGAACATCACCACATTAGCATTATTTATGATATAGAAATATTTCTAAATGATCGTCGCTTAATCGAGTGAATTACAGTAATTCGATTTGGGGTCATGGTGGCCCCATGGCATACGTGTTAACCATTAGCAGTCCTATGTCGAGACATTCTATTTTGCAAACTCTACCTTTAACAATTTTTTCTATATTTATAGTATCACAATTGTACCATTTCAAGGTAACATTTCAATGACTCTTAAATATTCTTGAATAAATGGAGCTCGTATTAAGCTGTGATTGAATGAACGACGTGAACCTCAAAGTGAGAAACCAAGCACTTGGACCGCAAGGGTTAATCCGTTATATTCGTAGACGATTCGAAAGTATTTCTAATTAAATCCAACTTAAGTAACGGAGTTAATTCTAAGAAAATGAAGAACTGTAGGACATCCTTAGGGAGACGACTCGTACACCAGGATGCAACAGGAAGGGTCTATGTATCGACGAACAACAAATTAGCGAATCAGATAAGATTAATCAGACATTCCTCGGTCTCCAGGCGTCGAGTGATCTCTCTACGGTACAGATACCGGGCGGAACGTTCGAGGGTCAACGACAGCACGGTTTTCGAAATTTGATCAGCCGTTAATTTTTCGGACGAGGCGGAGGGACTGGATTCGGTAAACAGTTCTCGACTGAATCACGAGACTCCGTGGGACAACAAACGGGCCTGCACGACGGATCCGCCGCGCGCGCGTTCCTACGAAATACACACACCAATTGGCGCTAGCCAATTTTGTAGTTACAGCCTGTCCGCTCCGGCTCGTTGTTCTCATTCCGCGTGTCCCAGCCCGGGTACGAAAGTAAATGCAACAAAAAGAACGAGGTCGAAGTCGTGCCTCGGAACTCCGAACGCGTGGGCGAAAATACCCGCTGACACCCTCTCCTCGCGATCCGTCATCGTCCACTTAGGAAAACAACCGATTATTCGCGACATCTAAATATCGCCGCGGGGCCACATAACTCGCCACTTACGAATCCACGGAATTTAGGAAGCGTGAGCTTTTTTTAATAGCCCCGCGCCTGTCCGGTGTCATCATCGCACTCCCCGTCCGCTTCGTTCGCCTCCAAAAGGTATCGCATAATCTATCCGTCGCCGTTCTCTCCGTCTCCCTCTCTCTCTCTCTCACTCTCCCTCCCTCTCTCTCTCTCCTCTGCTTCTCCTCGTCGCACAATACCTCGCGGAAGGGGTAACTGATAAATCACCCAACCTCGAAGCATTATCAATCGTCTCCAATACGATCGATCCACAAAAGAAATTCCCCTGTGAATTCCAAAAATCCGTTATTTTCCAACGAAACTATCGGACGTTCTTAATCATTCTCCAACGAAACCATCAGACGTTCTCAACGATTTTCCAACGAAACCATCGGACGTTCTCAATGATTCTCCAACGAGACTATCGGACGATCTCAACGATTCTCCAACGAAACCATCGAACGTTCTCAATGATTCTCCAACGAAACTATCGGATGTACTCAACGATTTTCCAATGAGACTATCGGATGATTTCAATGATTCTCCAACGAGACTATCGGTCGTTCTCAATGATTCTCCAACGAGACTATCGGACGATCTCAACGATTCTCCAACGAAACCATCGAACGTTCTCAATGATTCTCCAATGAAACTATCGGACTATTTTCCAACGCGTACGAGTGCGAAATACGATTTCCCTGTTCCTCGGAGGACGGACGAGCGCGTCGTGCCGTGAAATCGAAAGGTGTTCACCGATCGAAGCGCGACGCGTCGAAGGGGGCCGTTAATCCGGCTGGCCGGGGGAAGAAGAAGCGCGGGCGAAGATCGTCGACGGTGTCGGGATGCCGCGTTTGAATCGCGCGTCGCGCGTCGCGTCGCGTCGCGTCGCGTCGGTGTCCCGTGAGAGAAGCCGATGTCGCTGCGGGGAGCAACGCGGGGGAGGCAACTCCCGGCATAGCATAAAGGTGACTCCTCGCAGCCAAGACCTCCCATATGCTACTTAGCGTCCCGTTCGGTTCGGCAAACCTCCTGTGTCCGCCAGCAGAGAGGAAGGTGTTCCTCCCGCTTCTTCTTCCTCGCCGGCGATCAGCAGCGCAGTTTCCTTCGCCCGGCTCGCGCGAGAACAACCGATCCCGTCGGTGGATCCCTCTCGACGAAGTAATTCGGTCGATGCACGTCGCGCGACAGTCCGCGGTATTCTCGACGCCGGATCAACGGATTCCTCCCGACACCGCCGTCGCCGCGCCTCCACGACAGCCGAGCGAGAAACGAGCGCGCGCTCCGCGATCATCCCGGGCCGGAGAGGACCACAGACGAGGGCGATGACGACGAGGACCACCGCGCCGTTCCTCATCCTGGGCTTGATGCTCCTGTCGGGATGCTCCATCCGCGCGAGGACGGAGGACCACGACGTACACGAGCGTCGATCGGAAGCCTCCTGGTCCCTGGCCGATTTCAACGAGGGCGGCGACGCGAGGCGCGACGAGGCTCTCGAGAAGCTCCAACAGGTCCGTGCCCCTTTGCCAGAAACTGTGTTTAACCCTTTGCACTCGGACGTTCGGTAGAAATATTTCGACATTCATGAGAACATTTTCATAAACACGATACTTTGTGACGCTGGAAAACATGTACATTGAGGTCGGAGTTATTTTCAATATTTCTCGAATCGACGCGTTGCACAAGGTATATTCAATTCTAGTTTCAGTACGAAATCCGGTGGTGAGTGAGTCTCGAGTGCAAAGGGTTCAACTTCTAGCTACCGCTCGCGGGTGCCGAAACGTCTCTAGAACGGCCTTCTCTGTACCTATACCTATTCTAATGTAATACAGTGAAAACTCGAATCGTAGTGCTACACGCGTTAAGGTTTCCGTCGACGTCCATTCGGAGATTTATAGCCGGACGCGTCCGGGACGAGAGCGCAACCCTTGGAAAGTTTCTCAGTAGGAGATAGTTTCCCTTGTATGAATTATTTCAAGTGACGCAACATTTGTTTACACAGTTTGACCGGTATCATACGTCTCCATCGATGCTCGACGGGGTTGTCGGTGCAACCGGTTAAACGGGCGATTCGTTGCAGGTCCTCGGTATCCGGAGTCACGTCGAGAGGACGGGGCGTCGCAAGGTGCCGCCGCAGTTTATGGTGGAGCTGTACAACAACGTGGCCGACCCGAGCGGTGTCACGCGAGGCAGGAACCCGTACAATGCCAAGGTTGTCCGCAGCTTCATCGAGAGAGGTAACCGGCGTCATCGGAATTCCCGGCGGCGCGTCTCGGGCGGCGAGACTAAAATTGCGATTTCCCCGGCAGACACGTCGATGTCGCGATTCTACTTCTTCAACATCACGGGGCTGGAGGTGAACGAGTCCGTGCTGGAGGCGGAGCTTCACCTGTATCGCAAGAGGGCATCCCCGAAAGCCGCGCACCCGTCCGCCGTCGCGTCCGCTTATTACGTGGTGATTATCCGTCGAGGATCGTCTCGGCACTACTCGCTGGCCGCCATTAACCGGCGCTCGTTCTCCTTTCCATTTTAGATCAGAGTGTATCAAGTTCTGGACGAGAGGAGCCTGGACGTGCCGGACTTGCACAGACTCTTGAACGGTCGATACGTCGGAGCGCACGCGTCTGGCTGGCAGGTAAGTCGAGCTGGTTAACGCTGGGACTACCAGAAATCACTTTCGAGTATTTTGTTCTATAACTTAAAAGCAAGGAATAGTTGAAATGAACAGAATCTCACTTATTCTTTTACAGAATGATCTATTGCAATCCTTATAGGAGTGTCAGTCGCCAATACTCGGTTAACGGAGATTCGTGTTACCACGTTGAGTGCACGATTTCATGGCGGAAAATACGCAAAATGGGAAAAATCAGATATTAATCATTCGATCGAATTGCATTACTATCGCACGTCCATCTAGCGCACGTCACTGCATTAGGCAGCATTGTTTCTAATTATAGACGTTCATTTAAAACGATGTCAATTTCTATATATTTATCCGTTGTCCATGCGCGCAGCCATGAAGTTTACATCGATATTAACCTACACGTCTACATAATATAGAAATATCTTCGAGTAATCATCGTTTAATTGATCACCGGTGACATTCAACGTGTCGACCCTGCACTGTTCCTCATTGTCTATCTCTTTCATTCAGATCTTCAACGTGAAGCAAGCGGTGCTCGGCTGGCTGGCGGGCGAGCCGAACCTCGGGCTGCTGGTGACGGCGTCGAATTCGTTCGAGGGCCAGGTGAACGTGGAGTTCTCGCGGCGCAACGAGTACCACCACAGCAAGCAGCCGATCCTGGTTCTGTTCGACGACGACGGCAGGGGTCACCAGAGCAGCAAGAAGATGACGCCGCGCTACTACGCGTACGGCAACAACAACGAGGTGGAGGGTAGTGAGGTCGCGTACGACGAGGAGGACGAGAAGATCGACTTGAAGGACGAGTACAACGACAAGAGCCTCGAGCGGCACGGGATCCGCAAGGGTCAGCCGGAAGAGGCCCGGTGGGAGGGCGGGGACAGGTCGGAGTTCTTCCAGAGGCAGAAGCGAACGCAGAGGGGCGAGAGCGCGTCGGAGGACGACGTCGCCGACGGGACGTCCGGCCGTCGCCGCAGGGAAGCGTCCGGCTCGATCAAGTATTACGACAGGTCGTTCTCGAACGACGCGCTGTTCACCTCGATGGACATCTACCGAAGAGCGATGCGCCGGGGGAGGCTGGGTAACAGGGCCCGCCAGAGGGCGGCGACTCGGCTGCGCGCGAAGAACCGCCGCGAGAAACGGTCCGCGAAGAGCCACGCGTCCGTCCAGAACGTGACCGACTGCTCGAGGCACGAGCTGTACGTGGACTTCAAGGAGATCGGCCTGTCCTCCTCGATCATCGCGCCCGTCGGCTACTCGGCGTACCACTGCAAGGGCGTCTGCGAGTCGCCGCTCAGCCAGGACCAGCAGCCCACCAACCACGCGACCATCCAGGGGATCGTGCACAAGATGGGCCTGGCCAAGGGCGTCGAGAGACCCTGCTGCGTGCCCACGAAGCTGCTCGGCACCAACATCCTATTCTACGACGACAACGAGAACGTCATCCTGAAGGTTTACCAGGATATGATCGCGGACCGCTGCGGATGTCGTTAAGTCTTGTTGCTGTCGCTTGGAGACACTCGGGCTAAACGGTTCGAGGAAGCGATAGAGAGGGCGTCGAGGAAGAGATGAATGAATGTATACGTGAGCGAAGAAAGAAAGTGTATGAGTGTGTGTATGAGTGTGTACGAGTGTGTGTATGAGTGTGTGGGTAAGTGTGTAATCATGGTGTGAAAGCGATTTCACTGCGCGTCAGTACGAGAGTCATTCCGAGAGATTCGCCTCGTGATCGCCGTTTCAATCAATCAAGCCCTCCCCCATCCTCCCGACTTTGTACATAAGAACATTCCTAAATTCGCGTACGGTCACACGTATCCACGATTGGCGCGCGTCCCAAACGTATCTTGTATTGTCGTTAAATTATTACTATAACCAGCACGCACCGAGTCAGCCGGAACTGTATATAATGCTGTATCTTATATGTACGTTAGAGTTATTTATATTTTAATTACGATTGAATAAAAACGGATATTTAAGCGACACCGTTGTCCACCATTCTTTCGCACTCGCTGCGCAGCGGATCGTCAATGGACGACAACACGGGGTACATTAACCTGTTAGCCGGACCGCCGTTTTCGGCGTGCGAACAACGCACAGCCGCGATTGGAGATGAATAGAAGCGGTCTGAAAAGATTCGCCTCGCGATGCACGGTCCAATTTGTACCTATACAGACGTCCCTTGGATCGAGGATCACTCCGAATCGAACGCGAACTATAGTTTCCCTCGGACGATTCGCCTAAGGTTTGATGATCACAAAGACAATTACGATCAGAGAATTAAAAGCACTGAATAAAGACGTTCAACGTAAAAACTGACATCGAACGATCAACCCTTTCCGGAAGATTCCTCGAAGCACGAAAACAGATGAAGCTATACAGATTGCTTAGATAATTAAGAAAACTACGTGGCCACTTGCTGAGTAATTAAATCATCTATTTACGACATAACGTAAACACGAAAATTCCATCTCAAGCGTCGACATTCGTTCAATAATCGTTTCTTCATTACTCTTCTTCACCACGAAGAAACGAATAGAACAATTCCATAGATGGCCACGGGACTCCTTGGCGTTTAACCAGTTAACCGTGGAATTTAATTGGAAAACCTCAGGTTCTGCGCGCAGTAAAACCGAAAAATGCGTAAAAGCGAAACAAAGACGAATTACATGTTCATGTGAAAAAACAAAGAATTCATCGCTGAAAGAATCAGCATCACGTCAAGCTTTACGACGTGTGTACTCGTCACAGTTAACTGGTTAAATGAAAGCTAGAAGAAGAATCAGAGATTGGAAGCCTCGGCTCGATCACTCTCCCGCGAGACAATCGGCCGGAACGTAACGAAAACACGGGGATCGCATCGGCGAGCCGCGGGCGTCCGAATAAACGGAGCCAGGTGAACGGATCTCGAAAGTCCGCGGTTTTTTTTGGCGAACACGATTCCGTGCGGCGCGGCGCGGCGCGGCGCTTGGTGGAACGGCGCGTAAATTTCGCGGGCGAGCCAATAAAATAAGCGTGACGGTAACGCCGGCCGGAGAGACGATGACTTTGGCGCCGCTGGACGCAGAGAGGCAGTCGCGGAATGTCACTGCTACCGGTGTTAAATGCTGCTACCACTTTCACCCCCTTCCGTCGTCCCTCTCGCGCGAGTAAATAAACGACGCTGAAGCCGGCGGGGACCGTCGGAGGCCAAGGGAGAGAGCGAACGTCCCGCGGCGAGCCCCAAATTTCTCTCGGCCGGTCGTCCGCCCCCGCCTTTTTCCGTTGTTTTTTCAATACACTCCTTTTTCCGCCGTCCGCGGCGTTTTATTTCATTGCCGGAATAACCGAGAAGGTAAACAAAATTAGTTTGACGACCCCGCTGCGCTGGAGTCCCCTCGCGAGCGTGCGAGGAGCGGACAATCGAGCGAAATCACGGACGGCCGTACGATTAGGCGACGTTATCAGCCGATTGCCGGCGTCTTCCTGTTTTCTCGTTAGCCCCCGTCCACGGGCTCGTTGCACGCGCGTAAATTCACGCCCACGCCTCCCACAGGCCGGGCCAATTTGTCCCCAGGAATAACTTCGGGTGCCCGATCTCTCCGCGTCCCCCTCGGCGTGTCACGGACGCGACCGGGATTGATTTATCGCCGCGCGACGCTAATAACTAGATACTCGCCGATCTCTATGCAAATTCGGACCGCCGACCCTTTCCACCGGTTCCCTGCCGGAAACGTTCAATGGTCCGGGCAGACGAAGATTGCGGTCGTCGAGACGGTTTCGACGATTGTACGAAGAAGAACGTTAGAATGTTTCACGTGATATTTATATTAACACGCACTCCTTTTTACCGGAAATATTCAATATCTTCTAATGAGACAGATGATTTCTTAGATTGAATTGAGAAATCTCGCATGCATCGAGGAAGAGAAATATTCTTTCAATATTTCGTATATTGATGAGTTATACTAAGTTTAATAAGTTAATATACTTAAGTTAAATATCAAACTTTACAGTTTTGCTGCGTCAAATCATTTGACTGAGAGCCTCTGGAGTGCAAAGGGTTAACACGTTGAATGTCATCGGTGACTAACCAAAGGGAATCACTGTGGTTCGCTCGATTAAATCATTCGAAAACATTTGTATATTCTAAATAATACTACCTAAGATGACGCTAGATGAACGTGCAATAATGACGATTTCTTCCATTTCACGTTCGCTCCATGAAATCAACGCGTTAACCAATTAACCGTGTTTGACGAGTATACACGTCGTAAAGCTCGACACGATACTAATTCTTTCAGCGACGAATCCTTCATTTTCTCACATAAACATGTAATTCTTTCGCTTTGATCTTTCATTAAAATATACTCTGCGCACATTCATCCCGCATTCGACGAGAAAACGCTTCATTTTTCGGTTTCTCCAACTAAATTCCACAGTTAACCGTTTAAACAATGAACCTTCGAATTCCGTTGTATCGAGTCAAGCGAGAGACTCTACACTCTTCGAGTGCAGAGGGTTGAGAGAGGGTGGAATGTCGAGAGGCTCGAGAAACAGAGAGCACATCCCCGGGAGTCGTGCAGAGCTGGATACTCGTCGACGGTAGAATATTTCGCCGCTTATTTCATCGTTCCTCGAATTCCTTGGTCGACTCTGTTCCGGGTGTCTCCTCGTTTCTTTTAGATGGCGCGTGGGCCATCCGCGAGCCACTTTCGACTCTCCGTTGAAGCGGTGCCGATGATTTGCGGCAGGGAGAAACGCGCGAAGCAGTAACGGCAGCAGCGTTTCTATATTGAACAGCAACAAAGTGGAAGGGAACCGAGTGAAGGAAGATACTCTGGAATAAAAAAGAGGAAAAAAGAGAGAAAAGAAGAAGATAAAACAAGAAGAAGAAGCAGTAGAAGAAGAAGAAGAGGAGAGAACAAGAGGCTGCTCGACACGAGGCTGATAAATAAGGCGACGAAGGGGAGCAAACCGTGGGGCGCTTTCGATACGGGGATTTGCATATTTGCGTGGCGACCCGATCGTTCGCGTGCCATCGCACTGCATTCCGCGCGCGTGCATCTTCGGTTATATTTAATCCGCGGTGGGTGTATTTTCGAATCCGCCCGGCTAAAAATAGCCGGAACACGTCCCATTGCATTCCACCGCTGTATTTAGATCCCTCGCGTATCGTAATACGCGTAGTTCGCGCCCCAGCGGACGCTCATTTGCCCGCGGCAACTTATTCTTTCGTTTACATAATTAAGGGGCGCGGGCTGCCACGGGAATACGCGCGCGCGCGGCGACCTCGATGCCGTAATTCGATCCGCGAACGCGTTAATAACATTGTTAGTTTAATGCGCCGACGTGCGGGGAGCGGCGAGGCGGGGTGGATATCACCCCCTTTCCACTGACTCACTTTTAAAACCGTCCACGGTATTTTCTTCTATTCGCTGATTTAATCCCCGGAGAGATCCGGATCAAATTGCGAATTACTCTGCTCGTTACGCTTCGATTCACGTGAGTCTTTCTGTCTTCGTCGTGGAGCGATTAAGATTGATTCGACCCTGTATTCTTAATTTCTGTAATCGTTCGATTATTATCGGAGACAATGGTATGTTGGAAAGTGTTTCAAGTTATCGCTAGGAAACACTGACATGAAACACTTTCCAATGTACCATTGTCTTCAATTATGATCGAATGATTACAAAAATTAAGAATGGTTAAAGATCGAATGATTAAAGAAATTAAGACAGGGTCGAAGCAATCTTAATCAGTGCAGGATGAAGACAAAAAAAATCACGTGAAAGTTACTGCTAGGAAACATTGACATAGATAAAAATAATAAAATGATTTTTGGTAGTAAAAGTGCCATGTTTACATGAGATTGCTCAATAGCTAAATTTAACCCCTCGTGACGAAGATATCTAGACTGAATAATAATCAATATTGTTCATTACCTATGGATCAAAACAAACTATTCTATTACCAATGTGTATCAAATGAAAGTTCCACGGATCGGTCGGTGGAACGGAGAGGAAGGTGGAATGGCGCGAAACGGAAAGAGAAGGGCCTGTCGCGGGCCCCCCGAGTAAGGAGCCCTAAGCCGTGAACTGTACGGTCTGTACAATGACGTAGTGTTCTGTCATCCGGCGCGCTACCTCTCCAGCAGTCTCGCCGCTACCACCGTTGGCCATTATAGTGGGACAGAACACTTCACCGGTTCACAACTATACATATAGTGGCAGGCCTTTGAACGGTGCGCGCCGCGTGGCTCGTGTGCGCCGCGCGTTTTTCCTCCCTCCTCCCCGCGTCCTTTTCTCTCTCTCTCCTCGTCGCCTCTCTTCCGCTGTTTGTTATCGTGTTCTCACCGCGCGGACGATATCAAGTCCCCAGTGGCGCTGGCGATCCACCGATCTCCCTTGATCCTGCGCGGACACAAACAAGAGGCCAACGACACCGCGGATCTCCCTCGAGGATGGAACGACGATGCTGGCCGAGTAAATGGAAGCCGACGATCGGGGAGGCTGCTCGCTTTTAGAGGGAAATGAACCGGGACACCGTGCGCCCGCATTGGGGCCGCATCATGAGCGAGGCTGCGCGAGGCGATCATCCTTGAGAGTCATGAGAGCTTCGGCCCTGATCTGCTGGATACTCGTCTTCCGATCGATCCTGGGCACCACCGGAAATCTGGTAAGCTTCGACACACCCGGTCACCTGTTGCTGGCGAGCTCGCACAGTTTATTTTTAACGGGGGTTGAAACCCTCTATCGTGCTGTGTTTTCCGATGGACGAACTCTGGACGATGACTGGTGACCTGGAATAGTGTTGGATGCCTGCTGTGACACATAGTTGTGCAAACATGTTTGCTTCTGTGACAGTCATCCTCGCAATATCCTTTCCCTAAATATTTCCTATTTTTCCTCTGTTTCTGTCTTATCTTCAGCCACATAAAACTCTCACCTACTGACTCATCCATGTACCTTGATCCTCGAGTCATTCGTCCCCTTGAACTCCGAATCATCCTCGCCGTGTCTCGTCCCCGCTACTCCTATTTTTTCTTTTGAAAAGGACTAAATCGACTCTGCGGCAGACTTGGTTCAGCACTGTCAAACCGTAACCATCAAAGTTTGATCTTAGTCGTATACACAGCGTTTAATGTTTGTCATTTTGCAATAAAAAATTAAACACGTCAATTTAACTCAGTATAATGATGTGTGACTTCAAAGTCACACGAGCCTATAAAGGGTTGAAGAGTTGGGGATGTTTATGTGGAAAGGGACTGTCGATGACTTGTCCAGCACTTACCCTAGCGTCATTTTAACTGACTGAGCTTCTGACGTGTAGCCTCGAATTTTACTCGAAGATGGTCCCTTTTGTTCATTGTTCAATCTAGTGCGTCACTTGAATTTCTCCTCGTTACGTCGACTAAGAGCATGGCTACGGAAAGAGTAAAGAATTAGAAGACGGAAAACGGAAATTCCGGCTACTACGCCATTGAATGGGAAAGAAGCTCACAATGTACGCTTCCCAGAAGTAGAAACGTTCCCGGATCCGCCGAGCATATCCCATTCCGCTCCGTTCCATCCCGGCGTGTACCGGTGCGTCCCTTTTCCCTGCTCGATCCCCGTGTCTCGTCCACGAGCCAAACACGGGGCCCCTTTGATGTGCCGACCGTTGCCCTGCCAGCTCCGTCGCGAACCTCGGGACGGTCACCGTTGTGCCTCGAACTCGCCTCCGGTTCTCCTACCGATGCAACAGAGCTTCAACAGTCGTGACCTTGATACTCGAGACTAATATTCGTCTGTTGCACTCCGCCAATAGTAGCATTAACCCTTTGACGAAGATTCTTCGAAATGTACAGAACCTTCGAGAGAAATAGATAAATTGTGTATGAGTTGCTTAATTAACCCTTTGAACTCTGTTTCAAATTGCTCGATAATCTGAATAATTGCTCGAACCTTGAGGATTATCTAAGTAATTACTTGGACAAGTTCATCCTCGATTCGAGTAATAATCAAGGATTCACTACCAATCCGATTCTTCATCCAATAAACAGTTGATCTGTCCGACAGCCAAACGACAGGACATCTCGAGCCCCGGAAGAAATCATCGCGGAGCCGTCATCCTCCAAATCCTTCCGTTCCTGGATGTCCGTCAGTCTCAGGGAGCAGCGGAACGACGAGCTCGAGGAGGACGCACTTCCCACAAGGCACGCGAGGCACCGGAAACGACGTCGCTGCAGAAATCGATCGTGTTCCCACGGCGCTCTCGGGAAGCTGCTTCTCCTCCGAAACGAGACCACGAGCGATCCGAATGGGAACGTCGTCTCGGAGAACGGAGAACGCGTGGTCATCGCGAGCGATCCCATAGAGGTGATTATCTACAATACATACACAGTTAACACTAGGTTTACTATATACAAAATAATATATACAAAATATCTGTAGTATGCTGATTCTTATAACGTGTCTCAGGAAGAACCATTCTACATTTCGGTCCACAATTTGTTCTTCCAATTGCATTCTCGAGCATTCGAATTCCCTTAACACTACGGAACGCGTCAAATTGACGCATATTGGGTTTCAGAAATATTATTTTGTAAATAATATTAATAATAGTAATAACAGTTTGCACAATCTAAATAAACGAGCATCTCTTTTAAGAATAACAGAATGAAGTGTACAATAAATGTAAACCTAGTGTCAACCCCTTGTCCTATGAGTGAGACTCGTGAAGATTTTCAACACGACTCAACAAATATATATATTACTCAATGTATTCGAATTCAAAGTAATCATTATTCCCCTGTCATCAATTATTAAACTTAAAAGGAAATGTAGGCATAACATACGCTTAGAATTTTCTCTTTCTCTAAGAAACTATTAATGACAAAGTAGCCGTACCGATCAGAGTTGAGAAAGAAATAGGCCAAGGTGTCAATACAACTTTTAAAATTATTCAATACGCAGGACATAAACGAAGGCAAGGAGGACTACGACGCCTTGGACAGAAACGCCTCGGTCGTCGACGATCTGCCAGAGCTGATGGACTCCTACGACAAGCGTGGTCTCCTAGACGATCTGGAGTTCCAGGACACGGAGCTGTCCTGGCCGGAGGACTCGTTCAAAGCGAACGATAGCGACCACGAAGCGACTCGACCGACAGCCGTCTACGATCAGCCGACGTTCCACGAAGACCTGGGCGGTCTGCTGAGCAGGCTGTTCCAAAGGCTGCGCAACGCGTCCGCGGCGGAGGACATACTGAAGGAGCTGAACTTCGTGAACGGGGCGAGCGAGGATCCCTGCCAGAAGTGGCTGAACAGTCGAGACAAGCTGGAGAAGGTCTTCTTGGGTAGGCGAGCCAGATAAACGGCGCTGGGATCTATTGTCGGCCGGGTTCCACGAAATCGGTGATTCCTATGTTGCAGGTGGCCTCGCCTCTCTGCCCGCCTGTCCCTGCCAATATCCCAGCAACATCTTTTACGACGACAAAATCTGGGACGACCGGCAGGCGAAGCACTTCAGGTGGCGAGACGTGAGCGGCGGCTCTCAGAGGCTGGACGTTTACAAGCCGGGCGCCGCGCATTGCGTGCGCTCGTTGCTGGCCAGGGGAAGCGGAAACGCGGCCGCGCAGCATTGCTGTTACGATCGCAAGAGGAGATTGCTGACCCGTGGTTCCGGCGCGGGCACTCCGAACTTCGTCAGCCCGGAGATATCGGCCGTACTGCACGAGAGGATCGACGTGCTGCCTTGGAGACTGTGCAAAGGGGACTTCTCCAGGTACCTGAAAAGAGTTAGATTGTTGAGTGTGAGACTGGAGGTTGAAGTTGTGACATTCATTTCTGGCTTTCGAGAGAGCCGTGTACTCTCGTCCTTGATACACTGCTCTTTGAATTATGGAAATATTGCTTTTCGCTTGGTTTTTATCAGCCTTTTTCCAAACCCTAGTAAAATCGTGAAATTCGGTTATCTTCGCATAGGCACCTCTTTTTCAACCGGCTCTATAAGGGTTAAATAGGTACCCTGTTCAAACATTTCTTTTTCAATTGTTCAGCTGACCAATTAAAATAATCGATGACCGTCGATCCGGAACATGAACAGGGTACCTATTTAACCAGTTAAGTGTGTAATTTAGTTTGAAAAATCTCTCATTGTGCGCAATAAGATCAAATAATGAAGTGTATGCTCGTTAAATGCAGGCAAAACGCACTTAAAATGTATCCTAACGAAAAACTAAAGCGAAACGAAGAAGAATTACATGTCTCAAGAAATAAATAATCCATCGTTGAAAAAGTTAGCACCATTAAGAGTTTTAAGACGACGTGTATAGTCGTCAAACACAGTTAACTGGTTAAAGAGACTCTTCCCACACATCAGTATCAGCCTCCAGCCCCATGAATTCAGCTGCAGTGCCGGCGAAACGTTGGGAAAAAATTCCTAGTGGCTCTCTCCCGAAAGCCAGAGATGAATGTAACACTCCAGGCCGTGGAAGCATCGAAACTACTATTGTGACACTTGTTTCGCAGGTACAACGGGGTGAGGCCGCCGAACAACGGCAACGGGTGCGAAGCGAATCCCGACGACGCGGAGTACCAGCGGCAAATCGATGACACCAAGTACTATTAACACTAGGTTCACGGCCATTTACTGTACACTTCATATTATTTCTAAAAGAATTGATGCTGGTTCATTCAGATTGTGGAAACTGTATGTAAACTTATCTTGTAAACATTTACAAAATAATATTTCTAAAATCCGTAAACCTAGCGTTAACCTTGTATATTCTCCGTTTGTCTGCGGGCAAAGAGACCGTTGTAGACATAGTATTTAAGCTTTGTATTGTCAATAAATGTAAAGTCTTCGAATCTACCCGGTGGTCCCGTTTCGTTCCGCAGTCGGATCCCCGAGTCCGCGGATCGCTTTTCGAATGGACGTTCGAAAAGACGCGCCGCGTCGTCGGAAGCTTGGAAAGTCCGGAACCGGTTTGGTGCGTGCCTCGCGAGGTTTCCAGTCACGTTTCTTCGCGCGTCCCCGAAGAGGGGAGGCGAGCGTGGAGGACGAGCGCACGGCAAAGTCGATTCAACGGCGCGTGGCGGCGCGATCAGTTGTTATGGTTACTGCTCGCAAACAACACACCTTGCGACAAGCGTTTCGTTACTATTCAGTCTGCAGAACAGGCGTGCGGCTATGGACTGGGCCGCGGATCTAGAAATCACTTCGAAGAAGGTATTATACTCCTGCGTTCAGACTTGTACTTGAAAATGATTGGTACCGCAACCCTGAAGTACTCACAGTCGCTACCGAATATCTTGAGGACCTTGGTCGTATCTTGAGGGTCGTCTCATAGTTCTGCCAATGTACAGCTTGTTCTTAACACGTTCTTGTATTAGTTATTCTCTGTAGCAAAGATAAAGAGGAATTATTTCCTATCTCAATTCTTATGTTACACTATTATCTAGTTAATAGCATTGAGCATTTGATTCTTACTACCGAGCATTTTGATTCATCATATCTTAGGAGATATTATCTTCTGATCTGGAAGCTCCCATCGGTACAGTCAACGTTAACCCGTTGCACTCCGAAGTTTTCTAGAAATATTTCAACATTCTCTGATGAGATGAAGACACTTTGTAAAACCAACTCGAAATTCACGTGAATTGACGGACAAAGCAATTTTACGTGAATGTTTCTCAGATTGATTGTATGAAGTATAATATTAAATATCGAACTTTAGCTTCACTGTAGGAAATCAGGTGACTGAGAGGCACCTACTGAGTGCAAAGGGTTAACGTACATTTAACTCGTAGCTCTTGCCACGTCTTGGCAGACGCTCCACGCAGAATGTCCCTGCGGAAGACAAAGTGGACGACGATATCTTGGACAGTCCGTTGTCGTTGTCCTCTGGGAGGTCGACGCAACCACCTGTGGCACCTCCGCGTACCAGGAAGACGGGATGGGGAGACGAACTGAAGAGCGGGAGGTAAGGCATTCCGTGGCGATTCTTTGTCTTCCGCGAGAACTTCCACGGTACTTTGCTGCATTCTTCTGTTTAACGTTTGCAGATCCCGAGGAGCGACCAGCCTTATCGAACAGTGAGTATAACGCGTAAGATTAAGAAATCTGACATCCGTAGTCACTGATAGACTGTTCATTAGGGAACGTTCACGGGTGCCCGAAAAGGACAACCCTGCAGACGGTGAGAATCTACAGGCTGGGCTCTTCGTCAGCCGGAGGACACTTTAACCCAGTGTTTCCCAACGTGGGGCCGTCGCCTATATCTGAAATATTTCACAATATTTACGTAAACAAAATGGCAAAAATATTATAATAAATATTATTCAATATTAAAAATTATATGTATATAAAATTATTTTATTTTATTTTATTTTAATATATATATATATTGTTACATAGGGGGCATAAGAATTTTAGAAAGGTTTAAGTAAAAACTTGGGAAACACTGCTTTAACCCTTTGTACTCGAGAGATGACACTTGATTTCATACAAAAGACTATAAAATTTGATACTTAATATTACACCTCGTATAACTCATCAATTTGAGAAATATTGAAACAAAAAAGTTCCTCAATGTTTCATAAAATATCGTCTTTACCTCATCAGAAAATGTTCAAATATTTCTAATGAAAAACTTCTGACTGCAAAGGGTTAATTGAGAGAGTTAATAAAGGTTCTGGTAATGGAGAGAGATGGTTAAATGTAATGCAACTTACAGATATCCCCATTATTCCGGATTTGGATGAAATACAGGAGGACAGCGCGTCGTCCGACACCAATACGCCTGCGTAAGCATCGTTATTTATTGCTACTTGTAGAGTATCTTGGATTCTTATATCGTCAATGTGGTTCTCTTATTTACCTGGCAGAGTGAACGTGAACAGAGTCACGGCTTACAAGGAGCTGGACACCGATTTGGTGAAGAACGCCGCGTTCACTTCCCTCAATGGCGTCAATCTGTCCCTCCTCGCCGAGAAACTGTACAATGAAAATCTGACGAAAGAACCGGACGAAGTGTGGAACTGGAATCTTCTTTTCACCCAGGTTGCTTCTGAAATAAACAGCGAGGCGCAGAAAAAAATCTCTACATAAACTTTATGCAATGGAATTCATTTGAAAGATAATAAAACTTGGAAACCTAATTTATCCTGATGCGAATGTGTCTCTCCTCTGCTGTCGTGGAAAAGGGTTAATGAAAATTCTCAATGATGTCTTCCACACGTTGATGACCTTGTTGCATTACGCCTGTTGCATTGCTTCGAACTGGATCACTCTACACAGAATGATTAACACGTTGACCATGAGAATTTAGAGTGTTTCGAATATTACTTATATCATAACAAAGGCAAATGGTATTAGATTTAGTTATTAATGGTTTGGTATCATAGTTTTTAAGTTATAGTATTATTTAGTACCCTAAAATTATTCGATTTTCCACATCCAAATTTTTCACTGAGAAGGAAAATAAAAGATCTAAGAAATGTTATGGCATTTCTCATTTTCGTTATGGATGCTATAAAAATTAAAACAAAACCATCTGAAATGCTAAGGGTTAAACATTTGTTAATGAGAAAACTTCGGAGTGCAAAGGGTTAATGTGAATTATCTAGATCACCGCAAAAAGCATGGCATACTGCGTCTGCAGTGCCTGTATATGGAAGCGACAAATTACAACCTCGTCTGACCTATTCGATTGCCCCCCAATTTGGAAATCGCGGTAGTTCGAGGAGCGACGTGAAGGACTCGACCGTGCAGGCGTGCAAATCCGAGGTTTAGAGGTAAACCACGAACTTGAACGCGCAATCGGGAGCCGAACACAAGCTACTTGAAGCGACCACGTGACAACACCCACTGAGCAGATCTGCCACAATTTCTACGTTAGCGATCAATGTTCAGCTGTGCCATCACTAGCACACACTTCCAAAATAGACCTTCTCAATTCTCCTATATATACAAACGACACGCAAACCAACCACTAGCGAGAAACACCTTAAACTCAATACAAATCATCTACACAAAAGCTTAGCATAAAAAAGTCTACTCGTACAATCTCCGCGAAGCGTACAAATACTCCCAATCAACTAATTCCCGTGAATAATCTCGTTTTTCATTCATTATTTAAAATAAACTCGTAAACAACATTGAAACGTTCAAGCCGAAAGCCATCTAACGCCCAGCCTCTGTACCACGGTCGAGCCCTGTCGACACGTGAGTCGACCCATCGATTGGGCATGCGCGGCAGCACGTTTGAAATCTGGCAGAAACGTTAACCCGGTGAATTTAAGAATCCTAGCATAAATTGAATATCTCCGCAATTACTCCACGAGACTCTAATGTATCGCAATGGGCATGGTGCAGGCGTCGGCGAGAAAAGAGGAAAAACCAAACATGTCCGACGAGGAGGAATGCGTGGCCTGCCTGGAGCCGCAGGACAGAGGACCAGGGAACCCGGGGAGCTTCGAGGATCTGCATAAGAAGGTGAAGGACCTTTACCCTCAGAACTTCGAGGGGGCACGGTTGATAATCAGGAAAGTGCTCAGCGAGCATTTGAACGTGACGCACTCGATCACTCTAAGCTCCGTGACGCCGTCCGGCTACAAGTTCGGCACAAGCTACGTCGGCACGAAGATAGTGAGACCGAACGAGAAGTATCCAGTCGCCGTCGGCGAGATCACGCCGAGCGGTAACCTGACCGCCTCGTTCGTGCACACTCTGGGCTGCAGATTTCGGTGCAAGCTGTCCAAGCAGATCGCGAACGGGACGTGCAAAGCGTCGAGCTACACGGCGGAGTACCGCGCCAATGATTTCACGATAGCGGCGACCCTGGCCAATCCGGTGGTCGCCAAGGGGCACGGGACAATAGTGGTGCATTATTTGCAATCGATCACGTCGAGGATCACTCTGGGCACGGAGCTCGCGTGCCTCCGCGGGTCTAAAGTGCCCGGCGGCCAGCAGACCGTGATGAGCGTCGCTCTCCGGTACAGCACCGGTCCCACAACATTGTCCAGTACCATTGGCGAGGCGGGCCTGCACGTGTGCTACCACCACAAAGCCAGCTCGCAGTTGGAACTCGGCGTTGAGCTGGAAACGAACGTGCGGACACACCACTCGATCGCCACTATCGTCTACCGGATGAACGTCCCGTACGCGGACCTGACGTTCCGCGGGATCGTCAACTCCGAGACCACCGTCGGCGCCGTGTTCGAGAAGCGACTGTACCCTATCCCGGAGTCGTCGTTGATCATCAGCGGACTGCTGAACCACAGCAAGCAACAGTTCCGCGTGGGCGTCGGTCTCAATATCGGGCAATGAGAACGCATACGATGTCAGAGATTGGCGTAAAAAGGTTTTTATTGCGCCCCCGAACATGTCCGCGGAGCGGGAGAAGTTTTCGTATCGTTGCAACCATCACAATTCTTAATTCTTAATATGTATACGAACACGCTTAGCCCAAAGAATTCGTATGATTGCGAGAGCGCCTCGTGTGTCGCGTACACGTGTAACCTTTGATGCTCGTGGACCGATTAAAATCGAGAGCTAGGATAATGGAATCATGGTTTAATTAGTTGGAACTAAATACGAGTGACCAGCGAGCCGACACTGTCACCTCTAACCGAGACTTTTCCTCGTGACCGCCAGCGTGTCGCTCTAATCGTCCCCGTTCGCTATTCTCAAGTCTAAGTCGTCGTACTCGTGGAAAACGGTAGTCTTTAGTTTGTCGAAATTCACTTCGAACTTCTCGCTGAGGAGTCCATTCTCGTCGGCGTACTCTAAGATATCACAAATCAACGGTGACTCGACTCCCAACACGTACTCGCATGTTCTCGGTTCGAGCAAAAACAGCGAGACACTGGACGGACTGGCCGCGTGATCCTTGACGCACTTCAGCTTCACCTACAAATAAATTCGTTCGTTGCAATCGATGTGGAAATGATAGACGATTTTTTCTCTTGTTTTTCATACCTCGGTCTGTCTGGGGTTACCGGTCTTATCACAGATAGTTCCGTCGCTGTAGAAATGAGACAGCTGTTTCCGCAGTTCGGGCGGTTTCGGCTTTTTATGCGGATGCGAGGCGATCCAGTCTAGATGTTTCTGCTTGTCGAATTTCCCGAGGTTTACTATCGTTTTGGTGCCGTCGCGCTCTATGTGGTACTGGACTACGGAACGTCCGTAGCAGAATTCGTATTTCCACCATCCATTACCCTGTTTGCAATGAATCTCGTCTTATTCAAATGAATCTAATCGGAATAACACAAAAGTAGAACACTTACACCGTGCAAACAATTTTTTCCGCTTAAGAAATTTTTCACGGGACTTACTTCCGCCGGACTGATACCTTGACCGGTTATGGAACTTATAGAATCATCAGCGTTACTGTTTTTGTCCATTACGTCCACCGGATGTATTTCGACTCTGACGCGCGTCTTGCCATCCTGAAATATATATATGTAAATGGCGATTAAAATTATTAGGGAGTTATTAATTATGGTACTCGATAAACGAATAGCTCCAGAATCGATGTTAATGTTACATTCGACAATCGTTAGAAACATATATACTTTGAATGTCATTATTCTTTTGTACTGTGATTGAGAATCATTGTAAACGCTGATCTTTAATATTAAAATATTTTGATTTCATGTTTTTGGTAAATATGTGTATATCATTCAACGTCTCCTGCTAAAATATTATTTTCATATTATAAATATCGTGTGATAGTCGTTGTGTTGCAGCACAAAGCAATGCATAAAGCGGCAATGATAAATAAAAATGGAGTTTATGTACGGCTACAGTAAAATGAAGCAGCGAAAATTGTGTTGCAATGTATGTAACAGTGCATAAATAGTGTTTATATTGTTATTGTAACACTATCTTGAAAAATATATAGCTTCAAAGGAAATGTATGTAGAAAAGGAAGGCACAGAGTGAAGTATACATTCATGATAAATAGTAACAAGAACCGTCAAGCGCTTTAGCCTGTTCCCAAAAATGCAAAATATTCTGACCTGGCCCTCGTCATCTACACGGAGGATCGTATGGACTTTCTGCAGCTTGTCATCCTGTGCAACAAATAATAAATTCAGTACGTAAATGAATAAGAAATAAAAAAAATTATTAATACTAAGCTGATAAAAAATTCTAACATGTCTTAATTATAGAGAAGTTGTGTAACTTACATGTACAGAAACTTAGAATTGGTTTTAATAAAAGCAATTTCCTATTAAAATGTAATGCATAGTGTCTTACATAAAGAAGGTGCATTTATCTTAAAATAAAAATATGCATATTGCTTGTAAAAATGATTAATAAAAATTGCTACTATTGTAAATATAAAGTGTATAAGAAAATGTTTATTTATTCAAAATAACAACAATATATATATACATACAACACAAGCATATTTAGGAATAAATAAATGAATAACCAGGATGTAAAGAATATGACTTTACCGTTGCTTTCTGATGTCGTAGAATCTTACTTTCCTTTTCCATTGCTATAAGTGCTCTTGGTTTTTTTGGCGCATTATCAACTGGTAGACAGTTAATTTCATTTCCTCCTATACCATGCGGTTTGTAGTCAGGATGATGACACAGTAAATGAGTAAGTACAATAGCTTCATATTCACAGCTTTTAGGTTCTTCCACAGAAAACAAGTCGTGTCTAACGTGTGTATAACAAACGTACTGTACTTTAATCTTCCGTGGTTTATTAGATATGTCACAGACTGTGCCATCACCCATCTCAACTTCCACATAAGGCATATTGATTCCATCAACTTTAATGACCGGTATTTCCGCTTTCCTGTTAGGCTTTAAGTCTCGTTCATCGTATTTTGCTAACAATTTGATTTCTTGCAATTTATTAAAAGTACCTAACGTATATTCTTGTATTTTCTCTTTCTTTCCATCTCTATCTTGATGATATTGCCTCACAAATCGACCGTGACACAATTCATATGTCCAATAGGAGTCAACCTGCATAAATCATATTAGTTAAATACAAAGAAGAAGATTCAAGAAGTTTAGGTAACAGTAAGTTCATCAGGTATACCTTATAAGAGCAAATGTTGTTTTTAAATAACAATGATAAAATTTCCATTGGATTTGCTCCATAATAAGGTTCATTATGAGCCGGTTCCTGATCAGTGTTATCAGGAATCAGGCACTCGTACTGTTCATTATTTGCAGTTGTTATAAAGTATGATTCTACATTCGTATAAGGCTCCTAGAAAAAACATAAACTTAACAACTGATTGTAAGATAAATTATCGTAATTTAAATGCATACCGCTAATTCGGGATTCGGTTTTCCTGGCCAATTAATTTTAAACAAAACGGTATCATCGAAACTTTTTAAATCATGCCCATATACAATAGCGATTATAATGAGAAGTACATAATAAATACCACAATATTTCCACATTTTTACAAAGCTGTGATTATTTTATCATATTTTTTATTAACGTATGCGTTCACGATGCCTGCAAATTTGTGACAGTAGCAAACGTTAACGTTAATGTCAATGTCATTAAGACGAAGAAGCGTGTCTTCTATCGGAAGCAATGATATACTTGACTTCGAAACAGTTCAGCCTCTATTTTTCCGAAACATCGAACTCATCGAAATGTTCGAATGATTTCCCCAATTAAACTATACCTCTCAAGAAGTTTGTTCCTTATCTAAACTTTAGTTCTATTCGAAAACCAGTAACTTTAAGCCACGCGACTGTATACGTGGATGATTTTCAGTGGAATATTTTCTTTGGTTTCTTGTAACGACACGACGAGGGACGGTGAAAATTAATATATGAAATTATCAATGAAACTTTTAATCAAACATTCCTCCGAGAGATCTGTGCAATAACATTTTTCAAGTTAACCGATAGAAGCTCGATGCCTCCAAAAACAATCATACTATCTTCTTCTAGAAAATAATGTACCGAGCGTAACCTGCGAGCAGAGTAAATAGTGAACCGAAAGGTTCGCAGGTGGCGTTTGTTGCGCGTAAAAATTCGAATTCTCGCGGCAATCAATTAAATCATGTTTTATGGACTCGGCTTGTATTCCGTAAGTAAACTGCTTCGCAAATAACGTTACTCGGCTCACGGAGAGGCGACGTTGTCCGAACGTTTTCGATGAAACGATTTTTATTCGGCTATCGTAATTGGTACAGAACGGACTGGAAAAAAGAACTGGTGTGCCGTTCGAAAGTTCATAGAACCGCCATTGCTGCTACCGAGTGGCAATCTGACAGCGGCCCGACGAAATTGTTTCGGCCGCGAGAGTTTCCTAAACCTGGTGTGCCTTCTCGATACCGTGATAGTTTAGTTCGTGATTCGTGACCGAAAATCGTGATCAGGGGACTCGTTGAATTGGAAACAGACACGAACTAGTTCGACCTTAAAAGTCATCTGCCGTAGATCGGTCTGTTCACGGTGTTCCGAGAGAAAACTGGGTGATAATTCGGGAACGCGTGTCCTCAATTGAATTAACATGTCGGATACTAGACGACGTCGAAAGTCGAATCAGTCGTGCGGTTCTGACGACCTCTCGGATTCCTGTGAAGAGTTGAATGCAACGAAAGAAACCCAGGTTAGCTGTTGTGGGAGCTGTTGCTCTTCTGGTTCAGTAGTTTCGGAGTACTTTTAGGCCAACATCTTTATCTTTTACGCGTTGCATTTTTCCATTATGTTCCAAGCTGTCATTGTTTATCGAGATTTTGCTATCGCATTGAACTGGATCGAAAGTTTGTCGGAAGACTCGATTAAGCGGATTAAGTAGACTGTTGTAATACTTCTGTGCACGATACTAAATATTTATGTTTCTCTTTGTATTCGATTTTACCGGTGATCTCGGCATCGTTATGATATTAATATCTGTACAAAAAGGTGAATAAGATTACGTTTACAAGTTTTTTCAGTGCGAATAAAATGTATACTCTTGCATCATACAACCATATGACAAAATTTCAATAATGTTACGAACTTCTTTTAGAGCAGAGTTAATGTTTCCCCTGTGTATGTTCCTTTCACAGAGCAGTGAACAAACCGATGGACACCAAGATTCGGAATGTGATATTTATCCGTCTGACTCCGATGTTGAATCTCAGGATGGTGCATTAAGAGAAAGTGGAGATGGCCAAGAAGAAGAGAAGCCACAAAAGAAATTGGACGACGATGAAGACAGACGTAATCCGCAATATATTCCTAAAAGGGGGACATTTTATGAACACGACGACCGTACAACGGATGAAGTGACAGAGACTAATCCAGAGACACAGAATGAAAGGGAGACCAAAGAGAAGAAGGTATGGAAGGACAAAGAAGATAGATGGGATCATGACAGATACAACGATGAAGAACAGGCTCCAAAGAGCCACGAGGAACTCATAGCAGTTTATGGTTATGATATTAGAAACGAAGAAGGTCCACCTAGAGCTAGAAGAAGAAGAAGATATGGGTAAGTACACTTTTATAAGCATTTATAACGCGAACAATATTATTTAATGCATTCTTTTTGCTATAGTCGTGGTCCCAATAAATATACACGTAACTGGGAGGATGAAGATGCATATGGAAAACCAGGAACTAACATTTCCAATAGACATAGAAAGTTTAATAGAAGCGGAGAAGATTTTCCTGCACTAGGAACTAACAAAAATGCTCCTGCACAAGTAGAAGAGCCAGTAATCTCATCCGCTTGGTATAGTAGTAAAAATAAAATACAGAACAAAGTACAAAACTTTCCACCCCTACAAACTCAGAGTGATAGTCCAAAAACAAAGTCAAGCAGTACATCTAATGCTCAAACGTGTGTAACTTTTTTTTTTCAATATAATGGAGTTATTATTATCGGTTGTTTGTTGAAGAGATTAACTTAATTACTTAATTTATAGAAATGAAAACAAAGCTCCTAATGAACCGACAAACCCAGCCTGGAAAAAGGATACCAAACACACTTCGCACGCTCAAAGCAATAATGGCAATAATGGAGCTGGCGGTGACGCGGATAAATTAGTTACTGCAAAGACATCTCCGAGAGATAATAACAAGAGGAACGTCCAAGAGTCTGTAAGCTTGGCAGCGAGTAGAACTCGTGGACGAGGATTCAAGACAAACCCTAATAACAATATGGTTACTAATAGAGCTATTGAAACTAAACCAAAGGGACGCGGGGCTGGTCCAATCACCACGGAGAATAAGAGAAATAGTAACATACAAAACGATGACGAACAACAAATTACACATGACATGAAGCATGTTAGCGTTAACGATAGTACGCAGTATCATCAAAGTGGAAGACATAACAGTATGTATTTTGTATATTTACGTGAATCGGTTGTACGATATATTACGGTGTGTATTGATATTTTTCAGAAAGTTTCTATGGACAGTCTTCCAATCAACAGAGGTCAAACACAGTACCCCCAAGAATGCAACAACAAACTCATTCATCGCCGCAGCAACAACAACAACAACAGTCGCTTCAACAAGATAGTTCCGCCAATAGACCAAAGCGATACTCCAGCTTGCGGCAACGTCCTACAGTTGCTGAAAATCCTCCGCAACAGAATTATCCTCCTCAGCATGGACAGCATGGACAACATACCCAACATAATCAACACAACCAACATAACCAGCATAGCCAACATAATCAACATAATCAACATAATCAACACAGCCAACATAACCAACATAATCAGCATAATCAACATGGATATTTTCCCCCACAAGGTACATAGATACGCATTAATGTCTCCAGCATTCTGAAATGCATCTTCTTATGCCATTGTTGAAGAAAACTATTTACGGGTTGATTAATTGTAAACATATTACCTATATTTCATATTAATATGTGACTTGTATGTACATGCATCTAGCTGGCAATTCAAGAGGTGTTTTAGAGTCACAAGGTAAGACAGTAGTTTCTTTACGTGTGTGACAAATTTTGTTATCCCTACATTCGTTTCGTTCCTCGGGATCAATTTGACTGTAATCTATGCGAGTGGTCACGAGTAGACGCTTCTGTAGAATTCTGTATAACGATACTTTGTTTAAATAGGATACCCACAAGGCCATTTCGAACAGACAACGCCTGTTGCCGCAGCCGCCACGCCGTTAGCTGCACAGCCTGTTATTCCTTTACCACCTAACGGTCAACCGGCTAGCTACGCTCCACCGCCATTTTTAGTACCACCGCCGCAGTTCATACCTCCGCAGACTGCTCCACCTAGTATAATTAATTACGTTCCGGGTCCGAACGGTCCAGCATTTCAACCGAACTTTCAAGGTTACCAAGGATACACTCCACCAGTTCAGGTACAATTACAGGACCATTGAACAATCAATCTTTCCTGTTCACCTCTTTTATTCACTATCATATACTTGCATCATTTTAGCCGCAACGCCCCCCACCACCGCAAGAACTTTTCCAACCACAGGGTTGTACTTACTATAGTCCAGCGCAACAGCAACAACAGCAACAGCAGTCGGCTCCGATGAGACGGCCGAAAGCGGCGATTCCGATTCTGCCACCGCCCGACAACCAACAGCATCAGAGCACTAAAGGAAGGGGTAGAAGTATACAGTCGCAACCGACGAGTCAGCCTGGTGGCATTCAGCAGACTGAGCAGGAGGCTAAGACAAACTCGGTGGAGGACGAACAGAAGACTGTATCCGAACAGTTTGACAATACTCAAATCGAACAGGCAGCCACTCCGGTTCAGGAGCCAGAGAAAACCGGAGATCTGAGTGCAATAGTAGAGACTGTGGTCGAGAACGAAGAGAAGAACGACGTTAAGGACGACGTTAAGGACGACGTTAAGGAAGTTGTCGATACAGATACACCAGTGGCCTCGGAACTCGTCGCGACGGACTCTGCGGTCGAGACGATCAGTGCTAGCGACACGTCGAAGGTTACTGTAGACGATGAAAATATTATTCCCGTTACGCCTCCGACGGTTATCGAAAAGTCTGAAATTGATCCTGTCACAATTGAGAGCAGTACGGCCGAGAGTAAAGAGGCGGGTCCGCTGGTGGAGGAGGCAACCGCTTGAAAGAGGAACGCCGCGCAGTCTCTCTCTTAACCTTTCTCACAAAAGACGTAATTGTGAATCTTCGCGAGTACGAGTATGCATAATATTATAAAGGATGCCGTGTAATTTGAATAGAAGTTACTATGCAACTATGTATAGGAAATTGATTTCGCGCGCCGCTCGAGGAACCGCGGCGGCGATCGGATGTGTGTGCGCGTCATACGTATCTCGAATGAATTTTATGTAATTCCAGCATGTTGTATATTTCGTAGCTCGCATTTGTAACAATGTTCCCGCTACGATCTT